GTTTGCATAAGACAAGAGGAGGAAATAAGAGGTATCTAAATTGGCAAAGAGGAGTTAAAATTATCTCTCTATGCAGATGAAATGATAGTATACTTAGAAAACCCTAAAGACTCAGCAAGAAAACTATTGGACATAGTTGCCCAATTCAGCAAAATAGCAGGATAAATGATCAACATACAAAAATCCATTGGATTTCTCTACAGTGACAAAGAGAATACAGAGCCTGAGCTAAGAAAAACAATACCCTTCACAATAGCGAATCACAAGTTTAAATACTTGGGAGTAAATCTAACCAAAAGCACAAAGGATCTATTTAAAGAAAATTACAAAAAAATAAATTACAAGAAATAAAAAGAGACCTGGAGAAGTGGAAGAATATCCCTTGCTCATGGATAGGAAGACTCAATATTGTGAAAATGGCAATACTACCAAAGGCAATTTACATGTTCAATGTAATCCCAATACAAATACTACTCCCATTCTTCAACAAGATGGAAAAGGTAATCTCCAGTTTCATTTGGAATGGAAAGAGGCTCCGAATAAGCAATGCACTCCTTAAAAATAGAAAAAAGGCAGGAGGCATCTCACTCCCTCATTTCAAATCCTACTACACTGCCATGGTGGTTAAGACAGCATGGTACTGGTACAATGACAGACACATAGATCAATGGAATAGAACTGAGAAACTGGAAATCAGCCCATCTACCTATGGTCAACTGATTTTTGACAAGGAGGTGAAATCAGTTAAGTGGGGAAATGACAGCCTTTTTAACAAATGGTGCTGGCAAAATTGGAAAAATGTCTGCAGAAACTCAAGCAAGATCTACACCTCACTCCATATACAAAGACCAACTCAAGGTGGATCATGGATCTAGGACTAAAACCAAGGACTCTAAACTTCAATAAAGAACAGTTTGGAAGAACTCTAGTAGTCCTAATCCACAACATAAACAGTCTTCCAAGTAACCTGAAAAATCTACAACCAGAAGATGATAAAATAGATAAATGGGACCCTCTAAGAATCAAATCCCTATGCATATCCAAAAACTTCTCCAGTAGGGTAAAAAGGGAAGCCACTGACTGGGAAAAAGTGTTTGGTAGTGACATGTCAGATAAGGGACTTATATCTAGAGTTTATAAAATACTCGAGCACCACAACAAGATAAAGGTAAATAATCCAATTGAAAAATGGGCACAGGATATGAACAGACACTTCACCAAAGAAGACATTCAGATGGCCAACAAGCACATGAAAAAAATGTTTAAAATCCCTAGCTCTAAGAGAGATGCAAATCAAAACAACTATGAAATATCATCTCACCCGTCAGAATAGCAAAATTTAACAGAAAAGCAAGCAACAAATGCTGGCGAGGTTGTGGAGAAACTGGAACCTTTATTGGTGGGAGTGTAAAATGGTGCAAGCTCTGTGGAAAATGGTGTGATGCTTTCTAAAAAAGTTGCAAATAGAGATATCATTTGACCCAGCAATTCCTCTACTGGGAATATACCCTATAGAGACCATAACCGCCATCCAAGCAGATATATGCACACTTATGTTTATTGCAGCTTTGTTCACAATAGCAAGGAGTTGGAAACCACCCAGGTGTCCATCAACAAACTAATGGATAGAGAAGTTGTGGTATATTCACACAATGGAATACTACTCTGCATTGATAAACAAGGAACTTATGCAATATTATTCAAAATGGGTGACCCTGGAGGACATTATGCTAAGTTAAATATCTCAGTCACAAAAGGACAAATACTGCATGGTGCCACTGTTGTAGAATGGGACTGACATCAGGGTTGGGGTAAGACTGAGAAAAACTGGAAAAATTATGTATACTGCATTGAAACAGATGAGGGAGAGAACAATGTAAAAGCGATATATGATAGGGTATTATGGTTATCACAAGAGTCCAAAATTAAGGTTGCATAGTGGAGTGTACTCGAGGCAGTAGGGGGGATGTGCAGGGGGATTGTATACTAATGAAATAATTTTTCTTTTACGTTTCAAAGAGAGAAGCAAACTGGGGGTGGGAGATGGCTGGGCAGGGAGAAAAGTACAACAATGAATGAATGGAAATCCAAAATCTCTGTAAATGCTCATTAAAATTAATTTTAAAAAAGATAAAAAAAAGAGAGATGAGACTGAATATCTTTCTCCTCTAGGTCACTTGGTAGACTGGAATTGCCAAAATTTCAGTTAGCAGTCTAATGCATATTGCAACACTCTTTTCACACACAGAAGTAACATGATTTAGATGGTTAATAAGAGCCATTAAAGAACTTAGGTGCATAAGTGCAGAGTTTTGGACTTCAAAAGTGTGAGGGCCTGGAAAAAGCAAATAACACTAAATTTAAATTTGAAAGTAAAGGAAAAGGCAACTAAAACGAAATTGAAGTTAGATAGTAAATCTCTCCTTAGAATTTTTACTGAAGCAGTTCCAATAAGCAGAAATAGATGTTTAGTATTGCGGAGTTCTGGTGGAGTTCTTGAAGTAGGCTTGGCGATGCAGTGGTTGAGTGTTTGACAGCTAATGGACAGTTTTGTGGTCTATTGCCAAAGGGGCTCTTTAGAATAGTGAGAGAAGATCTTCACCCTGAAATCTACAGCATCCCTTTCCAGCAGGAAGTAGCTAAGATAACACACCGTCCCCTTTTCCTTATGAATCAGGGTTAAGTCTTTCTCAAGGAGGAGTGATAGGGAATGGCAAAGGACACACTGACAAAGGAGATTAATCAGAACTGGCTTTGACAAGCACTGTGGCAACTGGACAATTAAAACAGACTTTCATGGGGGGGAAAAAAGAAGAACGAACTGGGGAGGAGGGTAGAGAAAATAGTGCAACAATGAATGAATGAAAACCCCAAATCTCTGTAAATGTTTATTAAAATTAATAAAATGTAATAAAAAAATTAACAAAAAATCCCTCAATCACTCATTGCCATCTAGTTGGAAACAGGTTTCCAAGACTGTAAATCACAATGAAGAAGATTGTCCATCTTTTTCCTGTGAAGCTGCTGGTAAATTTGAAAACTACCAAAGTGGTTCAATCTTTGGGTTAGCAGTGAAACTCTTTATGCTACCAAGCTCCCTTTTTAATAGAGTTTTTGAAAGGAGTTGGAGGAGTTGTAGGTGATGCATTTGTTTGCTAACTCAGAGGCTGATGATTAGAACACATTGATTAAAATGAAAGATTGAATGTTTAACAAAGTGCCTATTACTGATAGGTACTCAATTAACATTTGGCAGATGAATAAGTGAATGACTAAATGATTGATTGATTAATTGATGTGTACAAAGTTTTAATTTATTGTAAGAACTGAATAGTTTGGTTGGATTTCCATCTGAAGTTTTGCATACGAGCCAAAAGTTTGGTCCTTTGAATGTACGCAGAGGAACCTTGGAAGACAGGCCTGGTGATGTGCTTCTGAAAGATCACCACCTTAAAAACCCAATGCAGCAGTTCTATCTGCACACATCATGCGGGCATCATGAATTGGAATTGACTCAAAGGCAATTAAGAACCATGACAATACTAACTTGCACACTTGAATCTAAAAAAGACCATTGTTTTTTCTTCCATAACTTCACAAAATATACTCATATAGGTGAATATAACACCTGTCAAAACTAACTAAAATCAAACATTGAGTAGAACAACAACAACAACAACAAAATCACACCCTAAATCATGTGGCTGAGGCAAAGATAGCTATAAACTCTTTTCTGAAATTTTTTTGGCCCTATAAATTCCGTTGTGGCACATCACTCTTTATGGATCATGGAGCACTCCTCTTACTCTAAGTCTGTGGGTCTTCTATTAGTAACTTACAGGACACAGAAAAATAGCCAAATGTCACTTTCCTCAAATGGAAAATCTTCCTGAACATCACTTCACTCTAAATGTTTTTTTTTTATGCTTCCCCTTTTCCATCACAACAACTTTGATATGATAGTTAGTAAGCATCTAACTGTTTAATAAATTCTCCTCTAGGAAACAAAAAAATACGATGATGACATTTGTGAGGATTTGTCATATCTCAATTTTCACATTGTCTCTCCATATCATCACAAGGTAAGAATAGCATAATTACATAAAAGACAGACTTGTTTCAAAGTTATAAATAACTAGGCTGGAATTATTTTATTTATTGTGCCTCTTCGATCAAGGAACCTAAAATTTTCAACCTGCTAAACTATCAACTTCACAAATGTGAAGTCTTTTTAAGACTTCTTAAGACATAATCCTCATATAAAGCTCAATAAAACCTAAACCCCCCAACAAAAAACATTTTAAACATGTTGTGTTTGCCGTGGATCATGTTCTTAATAAATACATGTTGACTGAATAAATACAATAATTTTTTTAAAAATTGTGATTTTTTAGTGATAAATTATGAAAATGCAGATTGGTTTCTCATTTACTCATTCATATACATTTTCCTCCCTCTCCTTCCCCCAATTCACTTTGTAATGCTTGTCTTGTTGTCACATACCTAATGTCTAAGTATCCATTCCTTTCATATTGTTCTTCTTTTCATCCATTCTAATTCAGTGTTCATTATGTAGCCATCCATCAGACAGTGGTCTTATGCAGCATTTATCCTTTTGTGATTGAGATATTTCACTTAACATAATTTTTTTAATGCCAAAAATAGGAGAAGGTAATAGGAAAACAATGAAGTAAACTTAGAATAGCACTTGTCACAACGTGGGTATATTTTCAGCAATAGCATGTTTGAATTTTTTCTCTCCTGACCAGTACTCAAATACTGCCTTCCTAAGAAGCCTTCTCTGACTTTCCTCCCTGCTTCTTAAAGTTGCAGTCATTGCTTTGTTTTTCTTTTTAGCAGTTACCATCAAGCCCTCGCAAACTCAATGTCAACTCCTGGGCTGACTCCAACAGGTTTGCAAGGCTCTAAATCTTTTTTTTTTTTTTTGGTTTTCAGGTTTTTATTGGGGGTTGGAGGGGAGGGCCCATCCTCGGAGGTGCTCACAGTTTCTTCAGCCACTCCAGGCTGGGACCCAGGGGGTCCTGGGGGTGGTTGGGCACGTCAGGCATGTTCCCATCATCTCGGAGGGGCACTGGGTAGCTGTAGGGGGTGACCGCATTGATCATGGAGGCATACTTGGTGTAGGGGCTTAACGAGGGCAGAATTACAGCGAGACCCGCGATGGTGAAGGACACGACCAGCACCGGCTCCTTGTCCCAGGCATTCTTGAGGAAGGCTGCGAGTCCTGCGGGGGGGAGGGCGAGGCGGGTCACCCCTATGGGGCTGCCCAGGTGACCTCTAACCTGCTTGCATCACTCCCCAAGGCTCTAAATCTTTTAAGGGTGAAGACTACTCATCTTTTGAGCAGACTCTATTTGCTCTGTTTTCCTTTTTGGATAATCTACTACTAAAATTCTATTTACTTAGGGAGTAACTTTTATTTACTATTAATGACTCCTAATAGTAGTGTACGTAATGACTGCTAACTGAAAGTTGGGGGAACACTGTGGCAAAAAGATGGACAATCTCCTCTTGTAAAGATTTACAGCCCCAGTAACCCAAAGGAGGGCCTTTGAATCATAGAATCTGAATCAACTCTATGGCAGTGGAGAGTGTTTTTAAACCTTTGAAGAGTTGTTTTTTTTTTTAAATCGAATCCCAACATGGTCCAATGCTACTGTTGCTTTTTACTGTTGTTCTAAGTGATTATTTATATAACTCATCTGCTTTCTTCAGTGGTGTGTTAGTTATGGTTTAAAAACACACAGGCTAAAATGTAAAAAAAATTTTTTTCTAGTTTACTTATAAAATTTGAGTACATTGTTTTCAAGAACAAATTCTTTTCATTTCCCTCACCCCTCACCCATCAAATTGTACAACCCTGTGATTAATCCCCTCCTCCCCCTGCATATCCTCATTCTTCTGCTTCCAACCTCTTCCACCCCTCTTGGATCTTTATACTTATTCTACAATAATGGATTTATACAAAATTTATCCTTGTGGGACTTAATTAGTTCACTCAGCATAATGCTCTCCAGTCCCTCCCAAGTTAGGTAACAATTTACAAAAGCATTGCTCCTGTGTACTGCATAGTATTCCATTGTGTGAATGTACCATAATTTCTCAATCCATTCATTTGTGGTTGGACATTTGGGCTGTTTTCCATATTCTTAGGATGGTAAATAATGCTACTATGAACACTGATGTACAAATCTCAGTGTGTGCCTTAGTTCTTAGTTTTTCAGGGTATACTCCAAGTACTGGAATAGCCGGGTCATATGGAATCTCTATGTTCAGCTTTTTGAGGAAGCACCAAACTGTCTTCCAGAATGGTTAGACCATTTTACAATTCCACCAACAATGTATAAGAATTCCCTTCTCACAACATCCTCTCCAACATTTATTACTTGCTGCCCTGTTAAACTTTGCCACTGTTACTGGAGTGAGATGGTACCTCATTGTAGTTTTGATTTGCATCTCTCTTATTGTCAGTGATTTGGAGCATTTCTTTATGTATCTGTTGGCCATTCGAATATCTTTCTTTGTGAAAATTCTTTCCATGTCTTTTGCCCATTTTGTAATTGGATTATCAGTCTTTTTCTTGTGGAGGCCCAGGAGTATTCTGTAAACATTTGTTATAAGACTCTTAGCTGAGATTGTATTACATAATGTTTGTTCCCAGTCTGCAGGTTTTCTTTTTAACCCTGTTGGGAAAAGTTTTTGATGTGCAAAGGGATTTAATCATTA